TCCACCTATACTTAGATCCAATCTGAATTATTATTTGGATCTAAACCGGGTAAATTTTCACCCCTATAAGTATTGCTCTTTTGGGACGGCAGTAAATATACAGTGTGCTCTCATAAACATTTATTGGCAAAAGCATATATTTGGAATGAGGAAAACAATAGTAATGGTTTACTAACAAATGATATAACATGAAGGAAAATGTTTTGATTGGGCTGCAAAATAAGTAAAGCTTCACCTCAAAATTTACCGAAAATTGCAGTTTTGGCATCGAAAAACCTTCAAATTGATTATCTAGGCTTTGAACATTATGGTTGTGAAAACAAAATTAAGATTTCAAACCCTAAAATTAGTGTATCATTATATCGACCGTCCATTTTGCCTCAAAAATAAGTATTAATGGATTCACAAGATCTGTACTATTTTTTTAGATTCGAATTTTATAAATGGTGTTAAAAATTGATTTTAGGGCAATCATTAGGATTTTCGATGCCCAAAGTGCTTTCAGGACGAAGATTCGCTTTGAGGCTTTACTTTGTTTTGATAAAACCAAGGCTCCTCAAACACAAAGCAAGAAACAGGGTAAGATAGGAAAATTAAAAAAGAGGAGAACATTGAGTAGTGGCAGTGCGGACATCATTGACGCATAGGTTCCATGTCTACCATTTAAATGCATAAATCAGAAGCCCAAAAAAAATTGCAATCCTAAATCACAATGATACAAGTACTACTACTACAAGTAAGCAATATTATTCTACTTCTTGAGTAATGAGAAATCTGGTTTATAAAAATATGAAACCCGTAGACAACGGCTGTAAAGAAGCCGAGGTAACCAAAGAACCAACCCTCTTTGGTTACGCGTTGAGTGTCGGGAAAGCCCCAACCCACTGCCTAATGACTCGTACATCAAATTAACACTCTCTGCACATTCTACTCCAAACTTCCTCCTCATCGCATTCAATTTCAAACATTAAACATACAAGTAGAGGAGAGAGGCACCCAAAACATCAACTTCTAGTATGTTTGGAAACCAACAAATCCTCCTCCCTCTACATTAAGGCTTGCAATGGGCCTAGACGCCCCGACCCTAAAAATATAGCCTGGCCCACAAACTGTCGCTTAAGGGCTAGGGCCAGTGGGGAACTGGCCGGCACTTTTTTTTTCTCCTTTTTTTTTTTTCATTTATTTTTTACCCCACCCAGCTTTACTAGGGCCAGGGCCAGGGCCGGGCATGTGCCAATCCTGTGGGGACAAGGGCCAAGGGCCATGTCTGGCCCGGTCCATTTTCAAAGTTGTGGATACTAAGGGACCCTCTCTCTCTCTCTCTCTCAACACACACAGGTACACACATTCAAAGAAGTAGTGCAAACTAAAGAAAGACCTCTCTCTCACACACACGCTTACAAACGCACAAATGGCTATTAATAAGTTGTGGAGACTCACAAACACACACAAATGGCTATCAATAAGTGTGGAGGTTTACAAAGGGCATTTCTCTCTCTCTCTCTCTCTCTTACAATAAGATGAGGAAACTAAAACAGGTCTCTTTCCCACTGTTCTCTCTCTAAAATCTCTCACAGTCCAAGAACTACGGCTGGTGTTTCGGTTTTGCATGTGAAGCAGGCTTAGTCCACTCCAAACAAGGTGGGGATTCACGCCTCCCTCTTCTGATCAGAACCTACGGCTGGTGTTTCGGTTTTGCATGTGAAGCAGGCTTAGTCCACTCCAAACAAGGTGGGGATTCACGCCTCCCTCTTCTGATCAGAACCTTCTAATCTTTCTCACCTCCACCTTTCTCCCCACTTCGAAGTAAGGGCCACCCGACAAACATTTTTATTAACAACAAATCCCCCCACCCCCATTTTCTTCTCCACCTCTTACCTTGAAAGAACTCTCTCTCTCTCTCTCTCTGCTACAACTGTAAAGCTCTTCTTTCTCATCTTTTGGGTTCAACAATGATTGTGCTCAAGAGGAAAAAGCACCATGGCTTTAGCTGGAAAGGCATTGTTACTTGGTGTTGGGTTTTATTGGTGGTTTGTCTGCAAGAAACAAAATTGGCTGCTGCATCTTCTTCTTCATCCTCCTGTTCTTCTTCTTCAGTGTTCAAAAGTGCAAGAAAAGAAATGTTGTCTGGTTTGGCTCCACTACCAATCCAAAGAGGCAACAAAAACGCTCCAAGTGATAGTGAAAAGCTCTTTGAACAAGACAAAAGGAAGATTCACACTGGTCCAAATCCTCTCCACAACAAATGAGTTTAGAAAGAGAAAGTTGCCAACACCCATTTTCAAGGTTTGCAGAATTGAAGATGATTCCATGGAAGTTGAGGAAAACCCAGTAAAAGCTTCGGGTCTCTCTCTGCATCTCCCTCCCTTTTCTTTTCTTTTTTGAATGTAAAAGAAAATGATGTCTTACTGTGTGTGCCTTAAATCGCCATTAATGCATGGGCAAAGAGGTGTCCTCATGGTTGTAAAGACCACTGGTTTTCTAGGACAAATACCAAAGAGTATATTTTTCTTCTTCTCTCTTAATTTTTGTTTAATCATAGTAGTGTAAGGAGGCCTTGTAAATGTAAGGGGGTAGGAGGATTCAGAACCTGCCGAGCTTCTGAGACTGCACCTTCTTCTGTTAAAAACTTAATGGAGTGAGTTAATACAAAAGCTATTGGGGTCTTCTTCCTTTCTGTTCTTTACTCATTGTACAGTGAATATGAAATATTCCTTATATCATAACCCCACCCTTACTTAGCCCTCTGCCAATGCATGAAACTCTACTGATCTCCCAAAAGGCTAAAATGGGTAAGTTTACTGATTAGTTTCGGATCACATCTCTCTCTCTCTCTCTCTCATACGTTACCTTTAGTAAGGAGGTTTCAGAAAGCTGGAAATTAATGATTTGGTGTTGGGCTGGTTAATATCAGACAAAGGGTGGAATGCAGAAATGAGGGTGAATCTGGTTCACTGGTTTACTAGAAAGAAATATTCACATCTTTTTCAAAAATCAATCCAATAGCAACAATATTAACATTATAATAGTAATAAGATACGTACTTGGTTCTTGTACTGCACATAGAAAACATATTTGGGTCTGCCTTTCTCCCCTCTCAAAGTGATACACACACATATGCCCAAAACATGATAATTACTAATGGGAAAAGGAGCAATGAAACGTTTTCATCGGCGGTTTTATCAATAAGATGCTTTCTCTTTTGATGTTGAAACCAAAGTTCCATGCATAAAGTTCGATCAAGGGCTACTTGCTTTCTCTTTTGATGCAGGAACAAAAGTTCCATGCATAAAGTTCAACCAAGGCTCACCTAATATTGCGTGGTTTTGGGATTTTATACAAAGACATCATTTTTTTTTACATAGAGATCACAATAATTCTTGTCCTTTAAATTTCAAAATGAGTGGTTCTAAGAGTGTCATTGAATAGACACAAAGTTTCAAAAAAACAATTTTTGGATTTGTGACTCACCCCAAGCCATCCAATTTGACATTTAGTGAGTAAAAATGATTGTGACCTCCGTGTACAAATGATATATGGTCTAGACAATCCCGTAAAGTAAACTAGGGAACCTTAAGGGAGTGTCATTTAGAATGGGAGAAAGTTTATATATCGTTGACACCTTAAAATATAGAATTAAGGTGCACCTCAAAAATCCCTCTAAAAAAGTTGTTTTCATATTGGCAAAATATCTAATTGATCATTTCAACATCGAGATGCATGGTAATGGAGAAAAGTGAGATTTCAAGTTCTAAAAATAATATATCTTGCAACATATTATCTGAACCGTCCATTTTCAAGATTTTCATGCATTTTACATATCTGCTTGATTTAAACTATTTTTTACTCCATCATAAGAATTTTCAGCAAAAAAACATGCATCTTATCATAAAGTTTGAAAATGCGCTGTACTTTGATTAAGACTGCAACGCAAACCACACCGAATGGAATGATATACCATTAGGACTGGTCCTCTTGCGTGTATTTCAACTTGCCTATGGAAGGATTTTCTCTTGTTTCTTTTTATCTAAATCCAAGTTATGAAACACTATAAAATAGCAAATATAATATAACATGAAAAAACCAGGACAATGCGCTCTTGTGAATTTCTTGTAAAAAAAAACAAATGTGTTCTTGTGAATTAAGAAGAGGCTTTGGCTTGAAGCAACCCATTACATCCTATTTGAATTCCATGGGACTAGGAGTCCCCACAAGATTGGACATAGCGGCGTGGCCATGCTCCGTCAATAAGGACTTCATTAAGGTTACTTGCCGAATAGTTGTTGACCAAAGTAGAGCAATAAATAGTATAAACCAAAACCAAGTCAATTTTTCAATTAATACAACATTTTAAAAGCAAGAAAAAGCTTTTATTCATAGAAGGCCACTATGTTAGGATTTTGATTGCACGAGAAAACGGGGAGGTTTGGTCTTCTTCCCATCAACCCTTTTTTCTCGTGCAACTATAACCTCTGCGTCATTTTTTAGCCTAAACGCGTTGAATCAGTGGTAGATAAAGGAGTCTCGTCAAGTTCCAACCTGGGTGGCCAAAAGACCGCTCCCGTACAGGTTACCGGTAGTTCCAGCTCGTGAAACGCCCGAACTAAAAACTCGTGAGAAGATTTTAAATGGGGATTTTTGGATAAAAGGGGGGGAGATTGAGAAGATGTTTTAGAAATAGAATAGGAAACGAAATGGGAGAAAAGGAGAAGGGGGTGAACCTAAAGCCAGCCCCCAGCCTGTCACCCAAAGTCGATGTCGATCCAAGATCAAATTTGTTGTGGCAACTTCTTCGGCTTTGGGGATCCACGGGGTGAGGCGAACAGTGTCGAATGAGCTTTAAGGGTTGTCCCCTATTTATAGACAGGACTCCCTTTAAACAATGTCACAAATTCGTGATTGAATCTGGGCCATCCATTTTCAATGCCACTAGTGGCCATGTTGACGTTTCTACCAGTGATGCCCAGCTTTAGAGCTATGAAAATATTTAAAAATTGAGATGTCAGTGATGACATTAGTATGACATGATTAAGGGTTGCGTAATACACACCCTTTTTATTATGGGTGATGTGATTTCGGCAGTAGCATGTCTGATGGTCAACGACATCAGTGGCAGCATTAGGCATTGCTACTAACATCGCCTATTCAAAATTGATATGGACTTCGCTAGTTGAGACCCCAGCATCAAACAATGATAGTTATTTCTCGCCACATTCTGAGCATTCTAAAATCTGACGTCTGTCGGCATTTGAGCCAGTGAGAGTCACTTTTTTGGTTCTGATGTCCAACATTGCTACCCACATCGCCAGGGAAATCATGGTTACTTTAAGCTACAATTTGAGCATTTCAAGTTCTGGCATTTGGGCAATAATTTGGGCCAATGATGAGGCAACATTGTTGGTCATGGCACCAGTGCTACTACCCACATCATCAAAATAATCATTGCCACTTTTCGTCGCATTCTAAGGTCTGATATTTGCCAGGAGTTTGGGCTGATGAGAGTCAGCCGTTGCTGATTATGGCGCCAATGTTGCTACCCTCTCATCGATGTAATCATGAGCCTCTGCATCCCCATTCCGATATTTGACATCCGGCTTACAGGCTTTTAACTTGAGCCACTATTTTCTTGACGTTGTTTCTCATGACATTAGCATTGGGACTCCCAGCATGTGCCGACAACTTAGGGAGGCGCCCCCCAGCTCTGGCACCGCTGGTCATGGCATTGATCTCTGGCAGCTGGTTGAGCTATCTCAGATAGTTCCTCCTAGATTGTTTGTTGCCTGAGGGTTGCTCTTGGTCCGTTGCGTATCTTTGACGAAGTTCCAGACTTGATTTTAGACACATATGATGGGCAGTAGGGGGTTCGTATCTACAGGGTACTGGTTTTCAAGGCTCCGAGTGATCCTAAGATTCGTGGTGGCTAGCCTGAGGTCCTTCGGTTTTCTGAAATTCCCTCAGCCAGAAACGAGGTGTCTGCAAGCAAGTACACCTTTCTCGACCTTTTGGCTAAGGTCAACAGAAGCATCAAGGAAGACTACCAATTATTGAAAAAGTTTTGACTATGAAATATGGTACCAATACATTACTTATTGAATTAGGGACATGCAACAGGAGTTACTCATCATTTTGGAGAGATATGTTTTAGTGTAGAAGCTTCTTGGAAAGAAATATGAGGGTGTTTGGGTAAAAGAGACAAAACAATGTTTGGGCATCATAAGAGGTTTGCGGACAACTCATTGAAAATATAATTCCAGGAATTATTCTTGTTGATCAAAAATCAACAAGTTAGTATCATGGATGTGGTGCAAGGTAAGGGTTCCCAAGCTATTTTGATAATCAATTGCAGATATAGTAAAGATGTTGCCATTCCCTAGTTCATCAGTTTCTACAAGCTCTAAATCGGAGATATTATTGTCCAGAGGAAGATGGGGTTGTTTTGGAAGTTGAATCCGATCGCGTGGTTATTGTTAAATCTCTCTATATGTGGCTAGTTCATGACAAATACAGGTGGTCATCACCAAGTAATATGAAGATTTGGAAATAGCCAACCCTACATGAGGTGCATGCTTTCCTTTGGTATTAACTCTTAGTAAAACATTAAAGGTAGACAGACTAAGAAGTAGTCTGTTTATAGTCAAAGTTTGTACGCTTTGTAAGGAAGCGAAGAAATTGGAGATCGTCTTTTTTAAAAAAAATGTCCATATGGGTACAGGTTGCAGATATTGTTTCTTAGAAGAATGAGGACTTGTATGATTTTGCCGAGACATGCCTCAATTCTGATGAATCACATGGATCTGCCTATGTTGCAAAAGGTTGGGAGTGTACTATGGAAGGCCGTTAGAGCAGTACGTATGGAGCACATTGAAGGAGAGGAATAGGAAGGTTTTTAAAGGGTGCCTAATGCCTGCGGGGAATTTAAATCATTGGCCTATGGAAACAGTGATCAATTGTAGGGATGCCAACGAGTGGGGTGTTGGCTGGGCCAATAGTGGCCCTAGCCCAGCTCTGTTCCCTATAGGATCGACCCAAGCCTAGCTTGGTCTGGACCAAGATGAAGAGGCCCTAGCCCATGTCTGGAACAGGCAGCCCGAGCCAATATAATCAAAGAAAAAAAGAAAAAAATTGAAAAAAAGGTTGTGTTAGGCTGAAGTGGGCACCTTATCACGGCATAGGCCTTGACTCGGCTCACGAGCCACATTTTATGGCTCAGGCCCTAGCCTTTTAGGGCCAGGCTACTCGTATACTACAATACATTATTTTAAGTAGTTCATTTTCCAGTCCTAAGCCCATTGGGATTGAAGGACTCATAACAAATCATTTTGATTCTGGTTAGCCATTTAGGGCCATGTGGTGAAGTCACTACAAATGAGGCAATGCCGCAAGGGCTGAGGATTACAGAGAAAACAACCTAGATAACGCCATTACAGTGGAGGGTAATTCATTGAATCCAATAAAGTGGTGAAAAGCAGAGCAGAAGGTTCCATGGTGTTTGAAATCAATAAGGCTGAAGATTCAAGAGATCCGGAGAGATTGCATGTCACATTTGAGCATGCATACCGCATACAGAGAAATTAATGCGGAGGTGCATCATGTAGCTAAAGTGGGTGTTACAGAGAAGTTGTTGCGTCTTTACTCAAAGAATGAGTTGATTGCTGACTGATTTTTGTTCTCTGGATCTCATTGTTCTTTAATGTGCCTTCTTCTTGAATTGAATAAATCCAAGTAACTTTTATACAAAAAAAAGAAAAAAAGATCTTCAGGTGCTCTATTCATTTGGCATGTACCAATAATCTTTGATTCAATTCTCTACTTTACAACTTTCATCATGGCTCATAATGGGGTGGACTTTCATTCGTTAAAATTCATTATAAATATTGTTTTTTAGGAATTCAATAAGAAATAAGG